AAGCTTGGTGACCAGCAGCTGCTGTCCGGACTATGCAGCCCTGGCTGATTCCATTCAGTGCAAGTCATCAGAGTAAACTAATGAGCAAAAAAGTACTGAACTGTAGTGTGCCTTAAGGTTCATGCAGTTATGCAAGGTGCGCCAACATATATTGTGTTTACATAAGGTATACTCTGTATATAAATAAATATATGTTTAGTATTTTAACTGTAGGTAGATCACTATGACTTGGTCGTTTAAAAAGTAGCTCGCAAGGTGAAAAAGTGTGGGCACCCCTGCTCTACCACATCATCAAAACACCACGCAAGGGAATACTTTTCATCCCTCCAGTGAAGCTACAGAAGCTTAGATCATCTATGAAAAGGAGCATTAAAGCTGTTATGGAGGCTAGTGGTGGCCCAACACCTGAGAATCTGGTTGGGGGTCACTGATCACTGTGTTCATTAAGTTTCTAGATGTATAATAAAATATATACCTTTGTGCTCTTGAACTTACTAGAACAATGAAGCTTGACTGGAGGAAGGCAGAGTTCTTTGGCAATATCTGAATTCTTGATCTTCAGAGCTTCATCGACCTGCAGGATAAAAGCAAATTAACTAGTTACACAACCAACAAAAGCAAGCACACCGGCCTAGAAAGCCTCTTTTGTCATCTGTGTTGCACTAACTTACCGACTTCCCCTTCACCCACTCTGTTGCTAGAGAACTGGAGGCAATGGCTGATCCGCAGCCAAATGTCTTAAATTTTGCAACCACAATCTTACCATTTTCATCCACCTGGACCTGAAATCAACATAGAGTCATATAATTTGTAATTCAACAGGAAATTGAAAGTCAGGACAGCAGTTATTTGGTTGTAATCCCTGTACTTCACCTCTAACTCACCTGAAGTTTCATTACATCTCCACAGGCTGGTGCACCTACTAATCCGGTCCCCACATTCTTGGAGCGTTTGTCCAAAGAGCCCACATTTCTTGGGTTTTCATAGTGGTCCACCACCTTCAGGAAAGTGATAAATACACAAAATAGTGTGTTACTGTTCTGGTGCTTTAGGTAACAAACTAAACAGATAGGACGCTGCTCGTAAATTAAAGTTCGCTAACGTTACACAGTCCTGCAGACATCACACACATAACACCAGTTGCCACCATAACTCAGGTGACATAGCTTGGCTAAAGTTATAGCTTTATAATATACTCAGCCGGTTACCTTTTCGTGATATGAACAGAGAACATTCAGCTCCGGTCTGAAAAACCTTCTGCTAAATAACAACAGCGAGGTAGCAGAATTTCGTAATGAGACAGTCGCCATGTTTAAATGCCGATGATTGACGGAAGTTACCGAGTATATACGACCACTCTCTGTTGACAAACAAGTGAAGAAGAGAGGTTTTATCGACGAAGGAGCCCCTAGCGGAAATAGTTATACGTGAGTTCAGTTTAGGGACAGGCTCCGCCTCTCACGATACGGCTGGCTTGCTTGTTACCAGGCAGACAGTCTTTCCAACATGGCAGCGTCAAGCAACGCAGAGCAAACGCAGTTGCAAGATATGGAGGAGGAAGATGCAGGGATGGAGGAGAGAGAAATTGAATCGGACGAAGAGGAGGAGGTTGGTATGCGAATAGAAAATTCAGATGACGAAGAGGATGATTCGTCGGAAGATGAGAAAGAAAATGAAGCCGAAATCCAGCGGTTGGAGGAGCAGGTAATTAGCCAGGCTTTATGTTAGTCAACTAACGTTAGCCGAAGAGCTAATGAGAATGAATGGATGGTAAACACAGTCAGCAACTAGTCTGCAGCTTATAAACTGTGAGTACATCTGTACTGCACTGGTTCACAGAAAATATAATACAGTAACGTTTATTGCTGTCATTCAAAATAATTAAATGGGCGCGTATGATACGACGTCATTCATATCGTGATTAGCTGCTCTGCTAATCTGTGATGCTAACGGCTTGACTAGGAACCGTTCAGTATGGCAGTTCGGTGAGACGTTACAGCTTTTAGTGTTGTTACTGTAAAAGAATACCATGTAAACAGAACGTTCATACTATCCTAACTTTATCGGATGTTACGGGTAAGGTGTTAAATTCGTCGTACTGATAACGTCTTACTACATACAACAACATATTGTATGCTCTCTGTGCTTCAACACAAGCTAGCCGCAGAGTGGAAACACTGTGGCCAGTTTATTAGGTACACCTAGCTACAGCTAATGTAATCTCGTGCAACAAATCCCACCTTCTTGAAGGTTATAGTGTTCAGTAGTCATTTTTGGAGGTTGTATGAGCTGCTGTTAAGTTGTAAGACTAGATTATTGTATTAGAAAAATGTTAAAAAGGTGGAACTGTAGAGTTTTTTCTTCAAAAAACATTATTAGTTGATTATCAAAATAAATGCCGATTAGTTTTATGTCAGTAATGAATCAACTAAGGCTTTCAGCTCTGATAGAATTTGCTGCATTATTTTGTAGCTAGGTGTCCCTAATAAACTTGCGACTGTGGTACCTCAGAGGGAAATGTCTGGATTTTTCTCCTATTTTTTGAAATAGTATGCAGTATATTTTAATCAAGTATTAATTGTAGAGCTGTAATTGTTTTGAAATAAATTAAATTACTGCCGCTTAGCTGTTATGGTGTAAATTTACCTTAGTTATTAAGATGGCACTAAGATCAAATTATAGCTACAGTTTTAACTATATCTTTTTTGTCAGTGACAACAAGTTACTGCTAAATACGTAAAGAAGAAGCATGAGTTAATGACCATGGATTTAATTGTATTGAGTCTTACCGTCCTTTTGTTTTTGTGTGATTTTTCAGCTGTCAATCAATGCTTTTGACTACAACTGCCATGTGGATCTCATCAAACTACTCAAACAGGAAGGAGAGCTTTTCCGTCTGCGAAAGGCAAGACAAAAGATGAGTGAACTTTTTCCACTCACTGAAGGTCAGTGTATGTCTGATACAGTTTTGGGGTGAGAAGAATCAGCTGACAGAAACATGTCATTATTTGTGCAACTGAAACCACTTTTTCTTGAACTCTGCAGAGATTTGGCTTGACTGGCTCAAGGATGAGATCCGCCTGACTGAGGAGGAGCCGAACCGGGAGAAATTATATGAACTTTTTGAGAAAGCCGTAAAAGATTATATTTGTGAGTGCATTGCACCATTGTTACTGCCTTTTGATTTTACATTAATTTATTAGATGATAGCATTTAATTTTGTGTCTTTATATCAAGGTCCAGATATCTGGCTTGAATATGCTCAGTATTCAATTGGTGGCATGGGCTCACCAGGTGGCATAGACAAGGTGAGAGCCATCTTTGAGAGAGCCTTGACAGCGGTGGGGCTTCACATGACCAAGGGACAGATGGTGTGGGAGGCGTACAGAGAGTTTGAGAACGCCATTTTGTCCACAGTCCAGGTTTGTGTTTCTGTCAATAGGAGAGGTCTTATTTATTGTCAGACATTCGCTCTGTGTTTGTTGCTGTTTCATTGTACACTCCGCTGGTAGTTTAATAGGTAGCACATCGTTCCTGTAATAAATCCATCCTCATGAAGGGGATCATGTTCAGGTTTTTGTTGAGACTATTTTATACAGCTGTTGATACAACTGTGATCATTTTGTAAGATGCAAGATCCAGCTCTTCTAGTAAGTTATTAGCAAGCTAGTAAGGCTAGCTAAGCTAACATTAGACTACAGCTGTTGCCAGGTTCAGCACACTATATAGCATGGATGCATATGGACTGCTCTGCAAGTAGATAAAGTTGATACTAGTTCATAAACTCTGAAGCTGAATGTTTACCCCCTCAGTCCACGGGAATATTGAAAAATGCACGTGGGAAAGCTGATCAGTCAGATCAGTGTGATTAGCGATCCAGTTGATTTGTTTCAAATATTTATTGGTTTCAACCAGTGCTGCTGAAGCAGGAAGAGAGAGATGTAGGAGAGAAACATGCTGCTGTGGGAGAGCCCACCCACTGAGCTACTGCTATGAGTAGAATCTATGTATTTGCCACATTTCTCAGTGACTTTCTCTTCTTGTCTCACTAATAATAGTTTAGCTGCAAAACATTCAAAAACTACATTGATGAATTCAGTGAAATATAATTCATTGACATATGAAAACTTAATTGAATGCCTTTTGATGTTAGACTTAATTGACCTTTACTGAATGTTGACAGCATGTTCTCTGCTGCCTTCCCTCTCAGCCTCCCCCTGGCAGGATTCCCAGCCACGAGGAGAAGGAGCTGCTGAACACTCAGCTTGAGCGAATCCATACGCTGTTTCGCCGCCAGCTGGCCATCCCCTTAATGGGTAAGCATCTTTTCTCCAGACAGGTTGCTGCAAAATGGGCAGGATTCCTGTTGTAAGGGCCGTGTCTTCACCTGAAAAACTGAATTACTCCATTTGAAATGCTAATGCTGCCTTGTGGGATAAGTTGAGAGTGCCATGTTTATGATGGGGCTTTTGAAATGGCAGACAAATTTAGAAAGAAAGCAGTCCTCTCCAGGCTCTGACCATCATTTTTCTTTCAGTTGTGGACTAGAGGTAGCCACAAGGTCTAGCTTTCTTATCAGAACTTAACACTTGCTGAATTGTTCAATAAAAGTGTGGGACATTAGGAGATTAGGCAGGATACATAAAAACATTTTCAGATTTACACTAACCTAGAACATGTACTTCTCAACTTTACTCCTTCAAATTTTGTAAATACTATATGTGATGAACATGTCTTTATTGATAGTGTTGAAAAAAGCTAAAGTGTCTTTAAATTTTGAAATAATTGTGCTCTGTTGCTTTGTAGACATGGAAGCCACCTATGCAGAGTATGAGGAGTGGGCTGAACATGGTGTTCCTGAGACGGTCGTACATCAGTACAAAAAGGCTCTGCAGCAGATGGAGAAGTGCAGATCATTTGAAGAGTCACTGGTAACTTACTTGCATTGATAGTTCTGACTTTGAACATTTTCTCCTCCCTGAAACATCTATGACAATTGTCCTGACTTTTAATGATGTGCATAGTTTGTGTGATGCATAACATCTGCATGTTGCTATCTTGCTGCAGCTGGTAGCAGAACCTCCCAAGCTGGCAGAGTATCAGGCGTACATCAACTTTGAGCTAAAGGAGGGTGACCCAGCGCGGATCCAGATAATCTTTGAGCGGGCTCTGGCAGAGAACTGCCTGGTACCAGACATGTGGGCAAAATACACCACTTATCTTGTGAGTACTGGTCAGTGTTTGGCGTTGTGCTGTTGTTTGAAGTCTTCCAGTCAGCTGTGTAGAATATGGGCTCATTTCACACGCCATTAGCTTCCAGTATGACCATTCTTTTTCAGTGCCTACAACATGCCAACTCCATCATCACCTGCCAGCACAAGCTAGTATCAGAGTGTTGCAATGAACTTATCTCGATAAACTGATTGGATTGGTATTAGATCATTGAAGTAGCTATATCCTGAATGGATTTTTTTTTGTTTTGTTTTGTTTTTTCAAATTATTGCAAATGACTGTGTCCAGATCCCTATTTGATTAAATATGCCTGTACTACTCATAACTGTCTGACTTGCTTACTGAGTGTTTAGCAGTGTGTAAATAGCAATTTCGTAACAGCCAGTGTATAAGAATACACAGAAGGAAGGGGTGGTGGCTGATAGAAGTGATTCTACACATTCAGCAACAGGTCTTGTTTGAACCATTTTGTTAATTATCTTGTGCGGGCTCCACAGGATCGGCAGCTGAAGATCAAAGAGCTGGTTCTCTCTACTCATGAACGTGCTGTCAGGAACTGTCCCTGGACCATGGGTTTGTGGAAGAGCTACCTGCTGGCTCTGGAGAGGCACGGAGCTGATCACCAGACTGTCTCAGGTAACAGTGCATGCAGGATGAAGCTGTTGTTTTCATTTTATTTGTGTTATATAATGTTACTGTTTATATATGTATTTGCAGCAAGCATTACTGAAGTCAATGTGTATGAAATGTTGAAAGTATGACAATTTTGAAGAGTCATTACTGTTTTGAATATATTTTAAATACTAGTGCTCCTGTGGGGAATTATCTTTACCCATATGGTGGTATGTTGGATCCTGTTTGGTGTTATCATGTTATTTGTTCTTACACACAGATGTTTTTGAGAAGGCGCTGAATGCTGGTTTCATTCAAGCTACTGATTATGTGGAAATTTGGCAGGCGTACCTCGACTACCTGAGGAGACGTGTGGATTTCAGCAAAGGTGATGACGAGCATCTGAAAACCAGTTTGCCTCTGACTTAAGAAAGCTGATTGTTCCTTTGCTGATATTTTCTTTTTTTTTTCTTTTTGCAGAATCGAGTAAAGAGTTAGAGGAGTTACGAGGAGCCTTCTCTCGAGCTCTAGACTACATGAAACAAGATGTTGAAGAAAGTAAGTGGATTTCACTGGGATTTATTTTTGCGGGGGCTCAGGTTGGCTTTCATGTGTTTCACTGTGTTGTGCCTCTGTAGGGTTTGGTGAAAGTGGAGATCCATCTTGTATCATTATGCAGATCTGGGCAAGGGTAGAGGTAAGGATTGTTACTATGACAACCATTTTCAAGCGCTTGAATTCTGCAGTCTTGACATTGTACTTAATCTTTGTCTAGTCTTTCATTATGTAACTGCCGACCTGGCTAAGGAATTATATAACAAAATCTTTGAGCTTCTCAATTTAAACTTAATACAGGCTTATTAAACTTTGTTACCAAAAACAAATTTACTGAGATAGAGGGTAAAGAACTGAAGAACCTAAAGGACACAATGCAAACTGGGAATGCTGTTTTGTCATGTCTTTAAAGTTCTGCATGTACTGTTATCTTTCTTTGACAACTTTAAATGTGATATAGAGCGCATGCATCTCCTATTTTCCCTTTCTTCTCCCTGCAAGGCCCTCCACTGCAAGAACATGCAAAAAGCCAGAGAACTGTGGGACAGTATCATGACTAAAGGGAACGCCAAATACGCCAACATGTGGTTGGAGTACTATAACCTAGAAAGGTCTGACAGTACGCATCTCATGACGAGCTTACTTCAGGTGCAGTGGTGATGTCCTTGTTAGCTAAAACTTGAATATGCTGTCTACATTTTAACTTTATGCATAGGTCTTATGGAGACCCTGTTCACTGTCGGAAGGCTCTCCACAGAGCAGTTCAGTGCACCTCAGACTACCCTGAGCATGTATCTGAAGTCCTGCTCACCTTTGAGAGGGTGGAAGGTGAGTCCAACTATTAAAGTCAGTGTTTGCATAAGCATAACATTCACAAATGACAGCGTGTCTCTATGTTGTGTGTCCTGGCCTGAAGGTTCTCTGGAGGACTGGGATGTAGCAGTGCAGAAGACTGAGACCCGGCTGAACAGGATTAATGAGCAGCGAGCAAAGGTAGGAGAACATGTCAGCTCTGCACTGAGCAGCAGTATCATTTAGCTGCTTTTGGCTAATGTTATCATGTTCTGCCTATCTGTTAGATGGCTGAGAAAGAAGCCAGCTTGGCTCGCCAAGAGGAGGAGAGAGCTGAGCAGAAGCGGAAGGCCAAGGCAGACAAGAAGGGTCAGAAGAAAGTCCAGAAGGGAACTCGAGCTGGGGGGAAGAGGAAAGCAGAGCAGGATGATTATCGAGATGAGTGGAATGAGGACTCGGGTAAGAGACTCCTTAGATTGGATGATTGGACTTTTCTTTTTTGAGCAAATTTAAGTGTGATATTATTCATGGCGTGTTTCCTAATTTTTCTTTTCAAAGCCCCTAAAAGGCACAGAGGAAATGGTGACCAAACCACAGAGTACATGGAGACCGAGACGGGACTCTCTGGGAGGAACGCTCCCCCTGGTTATAAGCCTGCCCCACCTGGTGCTATCAAAGCGCAGCAGGGAGCAGTGGCAGCCGATGACAAGCTAGAGCTTCGAAATGATAGCAACAGTGTGTTCATCAGCAACCTGGCGTACACCCTGGAGGAACCAGAGGCCAAGCTCAGGACGCTGTTTGAGACATGTGGTCCAATCAAACAGATTCGCCCAGTCTACACCATCAAAGGGAACTTCAAAGGCTACGGCTATGTACAGTTTGAATCCCAAGCGTCAGTCCCTGAAGCCCTGAAGCTGGACAGGCAGGAGGTGGAGGGCAGGCCCATGTTTGTGTCACCTAGTGTGGATAAAAACAAAAATCCCGATTTTAAGGTAAATGTAAAATATGAACACAAGTAGGTGTGTGTGTGTGTGTGTGGTTTTTTTTTTTGTTTGTTTTTAAAGACCAGAGTATCTGCAGGCCTTAAAGTTTTAAAAGTCAATCCAATTTTTTTTTGTACATATATTAAACAACTAAGTTTCCTTTACGAATCTTAATGTTTTCTTTTGCCATTAACTTGAAATATTTAATTAACTAGTTAATTCATCTATCCATTTGGTAAGACAGGTGTGTAGTAAAAAGGGCTTAAAAAGTCTTAAATTTAACTTGGTGAACCTGCGGGAACCCTGCTAACATGCAGTACAAGTGACACCTTCACATTAATGTCCCCTTAGGTGTTTAAATACAACACATCAATGGAGAAACACAAAATCTTCATTTCTGGTCTGCCGTTCTCATGTACTAAAGAGCAACTAGAAGAAATCTGCAAAAGTCATGGCACTATCAAAGATGTTCGTCTGGTCACATATCGCTCAGGAAAACCCAAGGTGAGGCAAAGAGGAGGATGGTGCCCACATCTGACTAAAAATAGTCTGATGAAGTTAATAATTACCACACAGACGCTGACGTGGTCAGGGTATAGACCCTGCCGTTGCCATGTTAACTGTTGTCCTGTGTGTCTCTGCAGGGTCTGGCATATGTTGAGTTTGCAGATGAAACCCAGGCGTCTCAGGCAGTTCTGAAAATGGATGGCATGGACGTAGAGGGCAACAAAATCTCTGTCGCTATAAGTAACCCTCCTCGAAGAAACATGGCAGATAACCCTGGTACCAATAGACCCACAACACACATGATGCCTCGTCAGGCCTACGGATCGTAAGTTTATTTACGCATTACTCTGTTCCAGCTGAGGTTCTCTGACCATCTGCCATCCTCACTTTTGTAAATGTGCAGAAACAAAGCTGTTTTGCCTTTTTCCAGGAGAGGAAGAGGACATACCCAGCTGTCGTTACTTCCTCGTTCCCTGCACCGACAAAGCGTGCCTGCAGGCAAAGTGGAGAATGGGACAGCAGCTGAGCGAGTGCCACCAACAGCCAGCGCCTCGGTGAGCACAGCTGGTGAGACGAAACCTTTGTCAAATTCAGACTTTGCCAGGATGCTTCTCAATAAGTGAGAAGACGAGTGAGTGAATTCTGACCGCCTTCACACTGAAAGCCATCTTGTGTCCTTACAAATTAGTGGTGATTTTTCTGTAGTTGGTTACCTGACTTCCCTTTAATCTCAGTATTGTTCTCATCATCCGTTCTGCAAGATTGCCTTAATCACCAAGCTCCTGCCCTACATCACAAACCCTTTTCAACCAAGACTTTCCACCAGTGTGACAGATTGTTCTTGTTGGGTGTGTATGGAGGTGGTGGGCTTTTTATTTTTATTTTTTTTAAGTGTATCTTGTTTGTCTGTAAATATGCTGTATCTAAAATTGTAAACCTCATGTTGCAAGGTGTCTTCGTTGTGTAATGTGAAAGGGATCTGACAGAAACATATTGGAGAGTATGTTTTTTAAATATTCAAAGCAGCCAAACCTGTGAATGTTGTTTAAAAGGGTATATGCAAAGGTCCGACAGTTCAGATGTGGTGTGATATAGTTGGTGTGTGTACATATGTTGGAAGACATTGTTTAGATGTTTTTAGGAAACTAAGGAATTGAGTTGTGTAACTTATTTTGACCTTTGAGGACACAGCTATCAAGCCTTTTCAGACTGTATAAATCATTGTTTTTACATAACGCACTATCTTAGTTACCACTTGTGAGTCAACAGTATTACAGTACCCCTAAAGGATAGTTAATTGGCTTTATTTTGGCCCGATGGTATGTTATAATTTGAGGACTGCCCTGATGTTATGTCATGTCAGTGAGTCAACAGTATTACAGTACCCCTAAAGGATAGTTAATTGGCTTTATTTTGGCCCGATGGTATGTTATAATTTGAGGACTGCCCTGATGTTATGCTAACAATTGATTGAGTTGTAGCATTTACACAGCTACAATAAGTATACTGTGCCGATACATCAGTTTCCATACATTACTTGTTAGTGTGACCTGTCTGTTTAGGCTAAAGATGTCCATCATTAAATCGCTTTACTTGTTTTAGTTTGATTTATGTGCTGTATGTCAAAGGAGCGAGAAATGGGCAATAATCTCTTGTGAAATTCAAAGAGTGCACACTTAAGCATGGAGTTAATGATACTGGAGAAATGTGTCTGATTGGCTGCTTTGGTGACTGGACAGATCCGACTACTGTTTTAATTTAGTTTATAAAATGTTTTCAATAGGTTTGACCCTTAACATGAAATAATACACGAATACACCCAACAGTGTAGAGCTGCAGTGATTAGTCTGACAGAAAATTAGATGGCAACTTTAATTATTAGCCTACCTACATATTCTGTTTTCAGCATCTCAAACGTTAGGATTACTTGCTTTTCCTTTTCTTTAATTTTTTTTTATGTATGTGGGTTTTAGACTCGATATGGCAAAAAGAAGACATTTGTTGACATCACCTTGGGCTTTCAGATACTGTGACAGGCATTTTTATAGACCAAATATTTGAGAAAATAATCGGCACTTTGATAGTAAAATAAGTGATACCTGCAGCCCTGCAACCATTCATTGGTATAAAAGATGTTTAAGATGTTAAAAGGAGATTATGACAACAAAAGCTTTTTTTTCCCCGCATGTGTTCAGTAGTGTTGATGTGAACCTGGGTGTTAGCGTGAGCCACATTTAGGTGACAGCTTTTCAGTATTCTGGGATAAGAGGCTGTTGCCATCATCTACAGATATTTAGGTCTGCAGCGACTTAAACACGAGAAGTAAATCTATGCAGTTTTCCTAGTCAACCATTTATCTACCAGACCACTTGTCTTTGGATATTAATGACTGTCTGTGTACATAATGTTCAGTATGGTAGTTTCAAAAAGGTCACCATAGTTTGTAATAAAGTTTTCAAAACAGATGGAACAGAAGCTATATGTATTGCTCTCACCACAGTGGCCTAATCTAAAAAAAAAAAAAAAAAAAATGTTGGTCTCTAGAAGTCAACGTCTGTTATATGTCCTAATAACAAAAGATGGTATGTGTGCATTGCTGTTTTGTATCATTTCTATGGTCAATGTTCTGAATTTGCTTTAGAGGTAACTGATATATTGATATTATGTTCAGTCACAGTATTTATTTTCCCGCTTATTTCATTATTAACCCTTTTCTACCCTTGAGTTCTGTACAAAAAAAAAGAGCAAAAAGTCTTTCTCCTGGTCTAAACTTGGTTTTAATAAAGTTATGTAAATCATCTTTGTTCCCAGCATGACACCCATTCATTCTAAACCTGTATCATCTATAGACATAAAACTTAACAAAAACATTTATTTTAAAATCAAATAAATAATCAAATATGTTAAAGTGCTCCACAGTGTTGTGAGACATCTTTATCCTGCACACTGTACACGTTTGCAGTGGATATCACTTAAGCATCTCAAGTCAAACAACATGAGAAAGCTTCGGCTTCTCCTCACCAGAGCTCCAGTTTCACTCACTTCACTCCTATGGGAATATGGTTACAAACTTAAACTGGGAAACAGGTTTCTTCTGGTTGTGCAGGAATAAAGAGCTGTAGAAAATCCAGCCTGAACAGAGCACAATCAGATATCAACATCCTGCAGCTGTTTCAGTGAATCCAGTGGAACCTAAACTGAATCATGGGGATGATAAAGGACAAAGCAAGTC